TGTTAACTTTATGGGATGATGCTCCTTCAGTTGTCCCTGTTAAGAGGTTGACATTGGAGTTCAGGGGGGGGGGGGGGGGGGCGCGGGGAGAGAGCCCCGAAGATCAGGAAGACTGCCACCACTGGGGTAAATGGGGGGGGGGGGGGGGGGGGGGGGGGAGGGGGAGAGAGCTCCATGTTGGTTGGGTTGTAATTGCTAATGAAAACCATGCGCCGCTCTTGGGCTGGTTCTCGGGTTTGGGTGTCAGGAGGTCTTTCCTTTCACGCTCGTCGGCCTTTGTTTTGTTCTGCTTAATTGTTTGTCTAGGGTATCCCCGTTTTAGGTAATCAGGTTGAGGCTGTGTGTCTCATACTCCGTATTGGCGCTGCAGATGCGTTTGATTCTCAACAACTGACTAAAAGGTCCTTTTGTCTTGATGTGAGACGGGTTACACGAGGTGTATGGCAGATAGGAGAGTGTGTCCATGGGTTAAGAATACAGCGTGAACTCTAGTTTGGAGTCCTCTTTGTTAAGTATGACCCACGTGTCAAGGAAAGCTACTCCATCTCTAGAGAATTCTGCCGTGAACTTAATTGTAGAAAGGGCATGGTGTAGGTATTTTATGAATTCTTGTAGGCGATGTTCACCTAGTGTCCAAATCATGAAGATATCGTCTATAAATCTGACATATAAGTTGGGTTTATGTGGGTGCCCGGCCAGTAGAGAGTTTTCTAACTCTCGCATGAATATATTTGCATAGGATGGGGGAGTGTTGTACCCATTGCTGTACCTCCGACTTGGAGATAGTTAGTGTCATTAAAAACAAAATTGTTTTTGTGAAGTACAAGCTTAAGTAAGCATAGTATCCCGGTGGGACTAACTTTCCAGTCCGGTCTGAACTTACCAATAGCACGTGCTACGGATCTGAGACCTTGTGCATTTAGGATGTTGGTGTATAGTGACGTCACGTCCATAGTAACCAAAATTACGTCTTTATTCTTCGCCACTGAATTCTTTTCAAGCTTCTGAATAAAATGAGTTGTGTCTTTTGTATACTTGGATATAGACTGACAAACTGTTTGATGTGTTCATCTACGTATATGCTGATGTCTTCAGTAGCTGTTCCATTCCCACTGATGATGGGGCGGCCAGGTACTGTTCCGGGTGTGAGACATTTATGAATTTTTGAGAGCAAATAAAATCTACCTGCTTTGGCATTCTCTGGAGTGAGTCCTGAGAAGACTTTGTGTGATATCTCCTCTTTGTACAGGAGATTAGTTAATTCTTTAGTGACTAGTTTGGAGTACTCCTCGGTTGGGTCGTACTGTACTTTACAATAGAATTTGGTGTCAGAGAGTTGTCTTTCAGCTTCTCTAATGTAGTCCGTAGTATTTTGAATTACTACAGCCGAGCCCTTGTTTGCCTTTTTGATGACAATTTCTTTGTTATTTTTTAGGTGAAAAATGGCAGCAGTTTGGGCGCCATTTAAGTTTTGGCGCCGGAAGGTGTTTTCTTTATTTTTTAAGAAATTATTTGTGACTGCTTTGATAAATGATTCTGGTGTAGGATCATAATTATTTCGAGGTACCCATGTGCTTTTGGGCCCGAATATTCTGTCTAAATGCGCACCTTTATTTTGCGTATTGTTGGTGATTTCCAAATCGTGAAAGAAACTTTTTAGACCAGAAAGTGTCTGACTCTTGTCTATAGTTTTAGGAGTGGGACTAAAAGTTAGTCCTTTGTTAAGTAGCTCTAATTCTCAGGTACTTAATTGGTGGTCAGAGAGATTGACAACAAAGCAATCTTCAATATTTTTATTTGAAGAGTTGTTGATGTTCCTTTTGAGCAATTGGTTACAAAGATTGGGAGGTTGAGCAGAGTTGTTACTCTCCAAATGTTTGACTAGTAATTCAAGTCCTTGTTGTTGTTGTTGGTACTTCTCTCATTTCGCCGGCGGGTTGGGTACAGGCGGGGAGGTGGTTGGCGCCGGTTGCGAGATCGGCTGCGGCCTCTCCCGACGTGGCTGGCCCCCCAGCCGCGGATCCCCGAGATCCAGGAAGAACTAGACATAATTCTTAGGGAATTCAACCAGACCTTCAATTGGACCACCCACCAAGACATCCTACGGACATCCATGCTTCTCACCATTACAGACATAACCCTGTAATTTCGGAGATATACAAGGACAGTCACTTCCACGTACAACATGTGGAGCCTGGTGTCCCCTCCCGAGATATTTTTTGACCATGTCTAAGTATCGCAAAATCATACTCACTCACTCCACACTCGCATGATATGACATGGTCTTTGGAAAAAAGAAACGATCCACTGTTTAGAAAATGTACACCAACAGCCGATTAGGTGAGGTATATGTGGAGAATATGAGATGGTAATGTCATATATGTTGCAGAATATGGAATGTTATTGCAGTATGTTGGAGAATATGAGATGTTAGTGTCATATATGTTGCAGAATATGGAGTGTTATTGCAGTATGTTGGAGAATATAGAATGTTATTGAAGTATGTTGGAGAATATCGAATGGTATTGTAGTATGTTGGAGAATGAGGAATGGTATTGTAGTATGCTGGAGAATATGAAATGGTGTTGGAGAATATAGAATGTTATCGAAGTATGTTGCATAATATGGAATATTATTCCAGTTAACTATGTTGGGGAATATGGAATGGTATTGCAGTATGTTGGAGAATATGGAATGGTATTGTAGTATGCTGGAGAATATGGAATGGTATTGAAGTATGTTGGAGAATATGGACTGGTATTGAAGTATGTTGGAGAATATAGAATGTTATTGCAGTATGTTGGAGAATATGAGATGGTATTGTCATATATTTTGCAGAATATGGAATGGTATTGTAGTATGTTGGAGAATATGGAATGGTATTGCAGTATGTTGGAGAATATGGAATGGTATTGTAGTTTGTTGGAGAACCCATGCTTGTCGTAAGAGGCGACTAACGGAATCGGGTGGTCAGGCTCGCTGACTTGGCTGATGCATGTCATCGATACCAATCGTTTGCCATGATATCAATCACTGGATTGTCTGGTCCAGACTCGATTATTCACAGATATTTTAACATAAAACGTCAACGCCAGAGGGGAATCAGTCTCAATTATCTTCTGAAACAGATAATTCCGAAATACTGGTGGAAATAGTGCGAGTAGAATGAAAAGTACACTTTCTTGTTGGGAAAACAAATACATTACATCTCAATCCAACTATTACCTAATTTACATTTACTTAATCTAAGTGGCCCATCAAACCATCTTCTTTGTGTAATTATCCCTCATTTGTTCCTAGATCCAAGCTGGAGCACCTGAGGAGAGTATTTACTGATACTCCCACTGAGCTTTGAATCCCCAGGACAAGCAACAGCAGATGTGTTGTGCCACGATGCAGGGGAATTGCATCAACTCAAGACACAAATGTGCAGCGTTGATGATGACCTGTGTGACATTCCTGTTGGTCCGCTATTATCTAAACAACAGGTGAGACGCATGGACGTGAATGTGAGTTAATGTCTGTAGTCTGTGTGACATTCCTGTTAGTCCGCTGTTGTCTAAACAACAGGTGAGACACATGGCCGTGCATGTGAGTCAATGTCTGTAGTCTGTGTGACGCTCCTGTCAGTCCGCTGTCGTCTATGCAACAGGTGAGACGCATGACCGTGAATGTGAGTCAATGTCTGTAGTCTGTGTGACGCTCCTGTCAGTCCGCTGTCGTCTATGCCACAGGTGAGACACATGACCGTGAATGTGAGTCAATGTCTGTAGTCTGCGTGACGCTCCTGTTAGACCGTCGTCGTCTATACAACAGGTGAGACGCATGGCCGTGAATGTGAGTCAATGTCTGTAGTCTGTGTGACGCTCCTGTCAGTCCGCTGTCGTCTATACAACAGGTGAGACGCATGGCCGTGAATGTGAGTCAATGTCTGTAGTCTGTGTGACGCTCCTGTTAGACCGTCGTCGTCTATACAACAGGTGAGACGCATGGCCGTGAATGTGAGTCAATGTCTGTAGTCTGTGTGACGCTCCTGTCAGTCCGCTGTCGTCTATGCAACAGGTGAGACACATGACCGTGAATGTGAGTCAATGTCTGTAGTCTGTGTGACGCTCCTGTCAGTCCGCTGTCGTCTATGCAACAGGTGAGCCACATGACCGTGAATGTGAGTCAATGTCTGTAGTCTGTGTGACGCTCCTGTCAGTCCGCTGTCGTCTATACAACATGTGAGACACATGACCGTGAATGTGAGTCAATGTCTGTAGTCTGTGTGACGCTCCTGTCAGTCCGCTGTCGTCTATGCAACAGGTGAGCCACATGACCGTGAATGTGAGTCAATGTCTGTAGTCTGTGTGACGCTCCTGTCAGTCCGCTGTCGTCTATACAACATGTGAGACACATGACCGTGAATGTGAGTCAATGTCTGTAGTCTGTGTGACGCTCCTGTTAGTCCGCTGTCGTCTATACAACAGGTGAGACACATGACCGTGAATGTGAGTCAATGTCTGTAGTCTGTGTGACGCTCCTGTCAGTCCGCTGTCGTCTATACAACAGGTGAGACACATGACCGTGAATGTGAGTCAATGTGTGTAGTCTGCGTGACGCTCCTGTTAGACCGTCGTCGTCTATACAACAGGTGTGACACATGACTGTGAATGTGAGTCAGTCTTTGTAGTCTGTGTGACGCTCCTGTCGGTGAACTGAGACATATGGCTGTGAAGATGACACAATGTCTTAACATTAACACTAGGCTTCAGGTTGCAATTAGATCCACTGAAATATAAAGAAGACATTTGTCGTTTCATTTCACATCATTCCGGTAGTACGGAATATCCCCGTTACTTGTTCATATAATTTGTTTTGTGTGCTGTTTAACGCCACATCCAGCAATATTCCAGAAGTCTGTTGATAATCGAATCTGACTGTAATAATCCAGTCACCATATTTCTTCCTTAGCTACAATTTGTATTTTCATTTTGTTATTTACAGCAGTATTGGTATTGCACCAACGTCCATGTAATACAGTACGTCAAATACCTCAAATACCTTAATGACTGAATCAAAAACTGACTGGAGTAGATCAACTTCAGCAATCCTCACACAAGCAAAGAACAGATCGCAGGTACAGATGTCAAGCTACACCCGTGTTGCTGATCCACTTTTTTCCGAAATACGCATCAATGGAAAGTACCAGTTTCAAGTCGGGGACGTCATAAATGTCTCCATCATCCTGAAGGACAGAGAGAGCAGGATGATTGTCTCAGGAGGAGATGACATCAGGATATGGATGAAAACTGCCAATGGCAGGAACAGAACTTCCGGTCACGTCATTGATCACGGAAACGGAGGTTACACGGGAGTTCTACGAGCATTCTGGGAATGACATCCTGTTTTTACGGTATCCATTGCCTGGACAAGGCAACTTCTTAACATCAGAGACAGATTGCGATCATCAAATGTTCCGTACACATTCATATATATGCTTCCTTTGAAAAGGGGTCTCTAAGGGAAGTAACTCTATGCAATATAACCAAGACAACAGAGAACATGTGTAATTATACTGCACAAAATGGCGGACATCCATGGCTGTGTGAAAGACCTAAAACAAAACTTCTTCCTTGTTGGTCGTGGAAAAGCAACCAATCGGTTGTAGCTGGTGATTATCACACACCTGCTGAGAAACAATTCATAAAAAGGTTAGTCTGGCATGATCTGGCTTTTTTATCAATTTATGTTTGATTTCCGATTTCTGTAATTCATACAAACCTTTTTAACACATATAGCAGCATGACTGTGTCAGTAAACTTATGATCATGACTCTCTGGCATGAGTACGGGTCTCTGACAACTCTCAAACTGAAACCCACAGAGCCTATTATACAGTCACGACGCTGAAATATATAAATAAATCAGACATTGTGAAGCAACAAAGTTCACCCCTTCATACATCTAGTTTAACCTCCGTGTTAAAGGTGTCCAAATGTCTTAAACTGAAATGTTATTTTTGCCTTTGAAAGACATCCTCCTCATCAGATTCTCCGGAGAATTTCAGCGTCCATAAGTCGAGGTATGTATCATTATTATCCCTGCTCACTGGAACAAACCGTACACATGCTTTAGTCAGAGTGTTATCTCAGTGATCTACCACTTTATAAATGGCCTTAGGCCGGAACAACACCCAGCACCACCCTCACGAACCCCACCCCACCCCATCCCACCTCTTCAATGTAATTTTGTTTCCACTCAAGTGTGACATATCTTAATATCCTCCATCGTGTTATTGCTGGAATATTGCTAAAAGCGGCGTAAAAGCACTCATCTAATATGAATATGAATATATCAGTTACTTGTTAACATTACAATATCTATCTGCAGGTAACTTTCGTCCGGTAACACGGATCAGCTGTTCGAAACTACCAGCTAGACAAACATGGAGGGACGACTTTTCTTCGGGGTACAGCTGACATGAAAGCAACACGCGAGTCTGGCATCCTCAACTCTGCCGGTACTCGATGCAGCATTCAGTACAAGCCTATAAGCGATGCCTAACAAACAGGCGCCTGTGGCTGTATGGAGATTCCACAACCAGGCAATGGTTTGAATATATTTCACGTTTCCTTGGGAAGGAAATGGTTACATACAGGAAATACGAGCCGCAAGTAGCTTTTATGAGTGATACAAACAGTTCTATTTTCTGTGGACCCCATGAATTTCCTTTCAACACAGGGAATGGCTGGACTAATGCAACATCTAACAAACCCTTGAAACAATACCTTGATAAGATTCCCAACAACTCCAAGGATATTATTTTGGACCTGATATTTATAGAGATCATATTCGCAGGAATCTCAGAAGCATCAGAGAATTTATTTTCAGGGGCCCAAAAGCTATCGTGGTTGTCAAAGGGACAAGCACTTTCAGACGTTTTGAAAGAGATAAATTCGGAGACATGAATGCTATGTCGTATGATCCAATCTTGAAAGAAGAATCTTCTTTGATCAAGGACCGGGTTATCTTTTTTGATTTTATTCAGATGACCTTAGCATTCGAAGTTCAAGGCCTCCATCCCGACATGGAGGTGGTGAAACTAATGGTCCATCACCTGATGGGGAGTGTGTGTGGAAAAGCCTAGTGTGTTTGCTGTGTGACCGCCTTTGGCAAAAATAAATATAGGCAATATTTGTATTATTTATTTGGTCAGCACATAATATATGTGTACGTTGATGAGTGAGTGAGTTGGGTGAAACACTCCTTTTAGCAGTATTTCAGTTATATTACGGCGTGTCAATTGGGGACTTGACAAGGACATATCGGACCAGTCCAATGTCCGTAAGCTAATCGGTGACGATTTGGGCACGACGTGGTCTGGCATTCGAATCTTGCAGTTCAAAAATTCTGCCGATATTTCTAGCGAATGGAACGACGACAGGACAAAACATTTGGTCAACATATTGCAGGCCAGTCAAATGTGCATTCACGTTAACCAAATCAGTTCGCTTATACCGCCCCATACCATTACACTACCGCCCAGATCCGGGGTAGAATAGGTCTTCAGCAACCCATGCTTGCCGTAAAAGGCGACTATGCTTGTTGTAAGAGGCGACTAACGGGATCGGGTGGTCAGACTCACTGACTTGGTTGATGCATGTCATCGTATGCCAATTGCTTGGATCGATGCTCATGATGTCAATCACTGGATTGTCTGGTCCAGACTTGATTATTTACAGACCGCCGTCCTATAGCTTAAATATTACTGAGTGCGGCGTTAAACAACAAACAAACAAACTCTACCGCCCCCACACCGATCATGGTCAAGAATCGTTACCCTGGCACATCGCTCACCGCTACGTAGCCAAAACATTTTCTGCCATCTGCGAATCGGAGGCAAAACCTTGATTCGTCTGTAAACGTGATGTAAAGCCACTGGTGCACAGCCGTCCTTGGTGTTGCCTGGCACACCCCAATCTTTGTCGCCTATGGTAAGCTGTTAGAGTCACACCCTTCACAGAACGCCTTGCTTTTCAGGCGGCGTTGCTTGGAGCCGATTTGTAAATGTAGATGTTGAAATTCGCCTACCTGTTTTTATATGGAATTCTCTATTTAAATCTATTGCGTAGTGTTTCAACAGAAAGTTACTTGTAATTAAACACTGAAGCAGATTGCAACTTGACTTCCTTTGCGGTACAAAAGATACCGACCATTTTTTTCCCCAGAACATGCACAAGGAAATAGGATGATATATACTATTAAATAGTGGTTTAAAAGCAATATCAATATTTATACATATTTGCACCCTGTGTATAAGGCACTTTTGTATTGAGTATGGAACGAATCATAGTCTTAAAAATAAGTTGATCTTTTAAGAATGTAGAGCAAATTAATGTTCATTAATTTTTTTAAAATTGTTAATGTTCTCCCGATATGCTGTGGTTAAATGCCCGATCACATTCATTCCACATTGGAGTTCTATACCCATTTGAGATAACTCGTATCTGATTTTGCATCAAATCACCAATGATAATCCTGAAACGTCGCCGATAAGCCTGGAATCGTTCAGTAGATTTCGGAAATTACGCAAACACGACCGTGTACCTTCCGCCATATTGGACAGTGTTTACAAAATCACGTTTCCACATGAAATCAAGAGAATTAAATTGGGTCTGGAAACGAACACTGTCCTCAGAAACCTGTACTTGTTTGAAATGTTAACATCGCAAAATTCAGATTTTACACTGTGTAGAATTTTCTCCTATTTTGAGAGATCCATTCGTCTAATTGTTGCACACATTGGTGTTTGAGAATATTTATGGGAAGAGGGTCGTAGCACGAATTATGGAACCCATAATATATATACATTACAATGATCAGGTATACATGCGTTCACAGTTATGGGTGACCCGTGAAGATTCCAGGGTAGAATAGGTCTTCAGCAACCCATGCTTGCCGTAAAAGGTGACTTGTGACTATGCTTGTCGTAAAAGGCGACTAACGGGATCGGGTGGTCAGGCTCGCTGACTTGGTTGATGCATGTCATCGGTCCCAATTGCGTGGATCGATGCTCATGATATCGATCACTGGATTGTCTGGCCCAGACTCGATTATTTACAGACCGCCGTCATATAGCTGGAATATTGCTGAGTGCGGCGTTAAACAACAAACCAACCAACCAACAACAGTTATGGGGGAATTCGGGATGAAGTGTTCTGATAGGAATGCTTCTGGTGCTTAGTGCATCGGTCCAGCAGACAGGCAAAGATCAGCACCAGCTTACAGGCTCCCTGCCTGTTGGAACGTGAGTGTGTGGACATATTGGACATGAATACCCTAATCTACAGGAACACGAACATTATTGTGCAAACTGGTACAAGAGGAAGTTATTAACTTTTTAGACTTGAGTTCAAAATAGCAGTTTGAGTTGGAAAAAATGTCGCCTAGAAACTGAACGAGATCTCAAGAGAAACAAAATGGCCACCAGCATAGGTTTCATTATTGAGTTTGATTCAGCGATGGAAGACTGGTCTAGCTACATTAAACGCTTTGAGATATGGATGGCCGCAAATAAGGCGAGGCCGAAAGAGAGAGGAAACACTTTCCTTGCAACAGTTGGGCCACATGCGTTCGAACTTTTAGTATCGCTCGCTTTACCAGACCATGTTTGCCGGCTTGAAGAACGGAACACTACAAGCCTTAGAGAAATGAAATCAGTGAAAAGGTATGCATTCAGTAATCACAAACTGAATGTGTGCCAGAATATATACTGTGCACACACACTCAATGAACATTTACAGCAGGGTTATGACACCTGAAGATCCGGGGTAGCATAGGTCTTCAGCAACCCATGCTTGCCGTGAAAGGCGACTATACTTGTCGTAAAAGGCGACTAACGGGATCGGGTGGTCAGACTCGCAGACTTGGTTGATGCATGTCATCCATCCCAATTGCTTGGATCGATACTCATAATATTAATCACTGGATTGTCTGGTCCAGACTTGATTATTTACAGACCGCCAAGAGACAGAAGTATATTTTAAGGGTAAAAAAGATGGGTTTTACACTTTCACAAAATATCTTACAAAGATGAATGCTTCTTGAAATACAAGATTAAGTGCAAGTAACATATAGTTAGACAGTGTATTTGATGTCTACCGCTGTTAGACTGGAAAAATTCGTGAGAGAGAGAGAGAGTATCACGATGGTTATTTGATTCTACAATGGTTATATGGTACAAAGTGAAGCTTGTGCTGCTCAATGTTAGACTGGGATAGTTCTTATTGTACATAACGTGAAATAGATATACTGCTCAACGTTACATAGGGATATTGGGATAGTTCTTACTTTAACGACAATACCTATACTGCTCAACGTAACATAGGGATATTGGGATAGTTCTTACTGTAACAACACCTATACTGCCCAACGTCACATGGGAACATTGGGATAGTCCGACTGTTACCAGAGATACCTATACTGATCAACGTCACATAGGGATATTGGGATAATTCTTACTGTAACTTGAAATACCTTTACTGCTCAACGTCACATAGGGATATTGGGATAGTTCTTACTGTAACAATACCTATACTGCTCAACGTAACATAGGGATAGTTCTAACTGTAACGTGAAATACCTATACTGTTCAACGTCACATAGGGATAGTTCTAACTGTAACGAGAAATACCTATACTGCTTAACGTCACATAGGGATATTGGGATAGTTCTTACTGAGCCGAAAAATACATATACTGCTCAGCGTTAGATAGGGATAGTGGGAATGTTCGTACTGTAACGAGAAATACCTATACTGCTTAACGTCACATAGGGATAGTTCTTACTGTAACGAGAAATACCTATACTGCTCAACGTGACATAAGGCTATTAGGATAGTCCTTACTGTAATTAGCAATACCAAAACTGCTCAACATTAGATAGGGATATTGGGAATGTTCTTATTGTAACGAGAAATATTTATACTGCACAACGTTAGATAAGGATATTGGGAATGTTCTTACTGTAACGTGAAATATCTATAATATTCAGACCCGTGAAGATCCGAGGTAGAATAGATCTTCAGCAACCCATGCTTGCCGTAAAATGCGGCTATGCTTGTCGTAAAGGCGAATATCGGGGTCGGGTGGTCAGGCTCGCTGACTGTGTTGATGCATGTCATCGATCCCAATTGCGTGGATCGATGCTCATGATATTAATCACTGGATTGTCTGGTCCAGACTTGATTATTTACAGACCGTCATATAGCTGGAATATTGCTGAGTGCAGCGTTAAACAACAAACCAACCAACCAACCAACTATAATGTTCAACGTCACATGGGGATATTAGGATGGTTCTAACTGTAACGAAAATACCTATACTGCTCAACGTCACATAGAGATCGTGACATAGTTATTACTGTAACGATCAATACCTATACTGCTCATCGTCACATAGGGATATTGGGATAGTTATTACTGTAACGTTGGTTGGGTTTGTTGTTTAACGACGCACTATGCAGCTATATAACGGCGGTCTGTAAATAATCGAGTCTCACTCACTCACTCTATCGACCACTGGGTTGTGTGCACCAGAGAATATATAACAGAGCATCATGGTATATAGCAGTAATAATGCTGATTGCGGTGGAAACTACACACTCAGTCACTCTATCGACCACTGGGTTGTGTGCACCAGAGAATATATAACAGAGCATCATGGTCTATAGCAGTAATAATGCTGATTGCGGTGGAAACAACACACTCACTCCATCGACGACTGGGTTGTGTGCACCAGAGAATATATAACAGAGCATCATGGTATATAGCTGTAATAATGCTGATTGCGGTGGAAACTACACTCACTCACTCACTCTATCGACTACTGGGTTGTGTGCACCAGAGAATATATAACAGAGCATCATGGTCCATAGCTGTAATAATGCTGATTGCGGTGGAAACTACACTCTCTCACTCAGTCACTCTATCGACCACTGGGTTGTGTGCACCAGAGAATATATAACAGAGCATCATGGTCTATAGCTGTAATAATGCTGATTGCGGTGGAAACTACACTCACTCACTCAGTCACTCTATCGATCACTGGGTTGTGTGCACCAGAGAATATATAACAGAGCATCATGGTCTATAGCAGTAATAATGCTGATTGCGGTGGAAACTACACTCTCTCACTCAGTCACTCTATCGACCACTGGATTGTGTGCACCAGAGAATATCTAACAGAGCATCATGGTATTTAGCTGTAATAATGCTGATTGCGGTGGAAACTACACTCACTCACTCAGTCACTCTATCGATCACTGGGTTGTGTGCACCAGAGAATATATAACAGAGCATCATGGTCCATAGCTGTAATAATGCTGATTGCGGTGGAAACTACACTCACTCACTCAGTCACTCTATCGATCACTGGGTTGGGAGCACCAGAGAATATATAACAGAGCATCATGGTCTATAGCAGTAATAATGCTGATTGCGGTGGAAACAACACACTCACTCCATCGACCACTGGATTGTGTGCACCAGAGAATATATAACAGAGCATCATGGTCTATAGCTGTAATAATGCTGATTGCGGTGGAAACTACACTCACTCACTCAGTCACTCTATCGATCACTGGGTTGTGTGCACCAGAGAATATCTAACAGAGCATCATGGTCTATAGCAGTAATAATGCTGATTGCGGTGGAAACTACACTCTCTCACTCAGTCACTCTATCGACCACTGGATTGTGTGCACCAGAGAATATATAACAGAGCATCATGGTATATAGCTGTAATAATGCTGATTGCGGTGGAAACTACACTCACTCACTCAGTCACTCTATCGATCACTGGGTTGTGTGCACCAGAGAATATATAACAGAGCATCATGGTCCATAGCAGTAATAATGCTGATTGCGGTGGAAACAACACACTCACTCCATCGATCACTGGGTTGTGTGCACCAGAGAATATATAACAGAGCATCATGGTCCATAGCTGTAATAATGCTGATTGCGGTGGAAACTACACTCACTCACTCTATCGATCACTGGGTTGTGTGCACCAGAGAATATATAACAGAGCATCATGGTATATAGCAGTAATAATGCTGATTGCGGTGGAAACTACACTCACTCACTCAGTCACTCTATCGATCACTGGGTTGGGAGCACCAGAGAATATATAACAGAGCATCATGGTATATAGCAGTAATAATGCTGATTGCGGTGGAAACTACACTCACTCACTCAGTCACTCTATCGATCACTGGGTTGGGAGCACCAGAGAATATATAACAGAGCATCATGGTATATAGCAGTAATAATGCTGATTGCGGTGGAAACTACACTCACTCACTCAGTCACTCTATAGGACACTGGGTTGTATTCACCAGAGAATATATAACAGAGCATCATGGTATATAGCAGTAATAATGCTGATTGCGGTGGAAACTACACTCACTCACTCACTCACTCTATAGGACACTGGGTTGTATTCACCAGAGAATATATAACAGAGCATCATGGTATATAGCTGTAATAATGCTGATTGCGGTGGGAACAACACACTCACTCACTCACTCACTCTATAGGGTTCAGTAGTAATATGTGTTATAATATGGGTCACGTTAGTGTATTAAACTCTATGAGTCTAGTTAAAAGGAAAAGTAGGATACATTTGTTTGTGTTTTGAGCAGATTTTCAGGTGTTTTACTGCCCAATGAAAGTGGTGAGTTTGTCAGTTGTTCATAAAATCCAATGATTGAGTAACGTTTTAAGGTCACCCGGTGGAATTAAAGTAAACAGTGTTTAAGTTACCATGGCGTGTCATCTTCATGTGAACAGAAAATCGCAGGCGTTTGACCAAGAGCCCTAAAGTGTTGACAGACACAGGATCTTAACTGGGGCGAATCGTGAATTCGACCCCTTGACCAGCAAATCCTGGCACAGCTAAGGGACACAACCCTCTCGACGGAGTAACGGTACTTTAGTCCGTTGGTTCAGCTGTATCCCCCCTGCGTCTATGACAGAGAAGAGACATCATATAGTGAATCATAGTCCTAACGGTTGCTGCTTTTGGGTGAATGTGGTTTGGGCCCAAGGCTACAGTCATGTCCCAGTAGTCTATATACACTACCCTGTGGACCATAGAGGAAAACTCCTCATGCAGTATATCTGCATAAATCAGTCCCCAGTAGGACACAAGCTCCTGGGCTGGGTTCCTGTAATAAGCAAATGGTCCCCGTACAGCTATTGTGACACCAGGGGCCCGATCAAGGAGGGACTCAGCAGCCCGAGCAAGTCGCTGTACATGCTGGCGGTATATGTCCGGATGGACTAAATTGAAGTGGACATATAGATACAGCACCACGATGTCCACTGTGTTATTGGGCAGAGATTCAAGGAGAATATGCTGTGCCCGATTATCAAGTGGGGAATACCGCTCCATTCCGTGAAACAGAGGGAATTCATGAGCAAACCATGCCACAGAAAGATTGCCTTGCTTGTCCTCCAAGAGCTGAGGGTGAAGGCTTGTGGGGGCGGACTTCAAGTTGAGTGTATCGTGAAGGGACTCCTTGAATTGACGACTGGTTGAGTCCCCAGGAATCCAGAGTCTCCGGTTCTTCAGACATTGTCGATAAGCCTGGGCTGTATCTTCCAGAGTGTCCCAACACAGTGTGGGTTTCCAGGTATTTCTGTAGATCACACCAACAGGACGTTTGCGTTGCCATGTTACTTCTGGTGACAGTTGACTGCAGGGCGTTTTAGGTGTGTGGATCTTGATATTCACAGTTTCTGAAAGATGGAAAATATAGGAAATTCAAATGCTGGAAGGGGTGTTTTTTAACGTGTGTGTGTGTGTGTGTGTGTGTGTGTGTGTGTGTGTGTGTGTGTGTGTGTGTGTGTGTGTGTACTAATCCGGTCTTGTTTTATACCATGTCGCAGCTTAAAATGGAGGAACAACTCAGAAACAGAATACTGTGTGTGTATGTATGTAGACAATCAAGTGATCGATATTGTGAGCATGGAACAACACTGTCTGGATTAACTGGGGTTAACTGCACCCACGGAAACCGTCATGTAGCTAAAATATTGTTGCATGCTGCGTTCAACAACAAACAATCAAACAGTACACAATGGAAACATGTTGTGTTCTTGTACCAACGTTTCAGCATGCATCAGGTGTTGTTGGGATCTTAAACATTTATTAAAAGGAGATTAATGTGAACAGTTCCAAAAGATACATGGACGTTCGGTACATGTGAAACAAAGAATGGATGGAGCGGCATCTTTTTCCAGCTGCAGAAATCATTCTTTGGAACTAACAAAGACTTACATGTTTCATTCGTGTAAGTAAAAATGTGCATATATTCTCTACTCAAAAGATGCTACCCACCCGATTCTTTCCTATAACTATAGTTAATCTATCATGCCATGACACATTGGTTATAGTGATATGAAAGTATCGGGTGATCCGTAAGTTCTTTTGAGTAGCATATATCATAGCTTGACATTTGCTATATCGCTGGCACCTGCTTACCCAGCACGCTTGTTATGTTGACAGAGGACCGAAGAAAATCATTGTCGGGCTTGGACGATCTGCAACATACGCATTATTTTACTTTTAGGACTAGGATGGGATTGGGGTAAACACATAATCATGCAGAAAATGCAGAAAATGGTGCATGCCACGTTTTTCTCTTTGATGAATCCTTGAGTACAAGCGTGGTGCTAACTAGACTAGGAGTGTTTAAAGACAATGTTCGATAAATTACTCAATAAGAACAATTTGTCCTGCACAAATAGGTGTGTGTGTGTCTGTTGTTGTTGTTTTGTTTGTTTTTTTGTGTTGTTTTTTTGTTTTTTTGGTGTGTTTTTTGTGGGTTTTTGGGGGGTTTTTTTTGTTTGTTTGTTTTTTGTTTTTTGTTTTGTTTTTTTTTTTTGGGGGGGGGGATGTTCGTGTGTGTGACTTGCGTGTACATGTCTGTCTGTGTACCCGTGTCTATATGTCTGTGTGTTTGTGGTTGTTGTGCGTGCGTTCGTTTTGGTCTGTCGTCTGTGTTTATGTCTGTTCGTGTGTGACTGTGTTGATGAATGTATGTCTGTGTGTCTGTGTACCAGTGTCTGTATTATGTATGTGTCTGTCTGTGTGTTGATGAATGTGTCTGTGAGGTTGGGGTTGTGTGTTTGTTCGGGTGTAGGTAGGTATCTGTTGATCGGGGGTGTCTGTGTGTGTTCGAGTGTGTCTGTGTATTTGTGAGTGTGTGTCTGTGTATTTGTGAGTGTGTGTGTGTATTTATGAGTGTGTGTTACCCAATAAACCAAACATGACATTTGTAAAGTGACTTTTGACCAGATGTATCACAATTAATAACATTTCCCAATTCCGTCAATTAAACTTGATCAAACTTCATTTCCATCTAAAACTACCGATCAAACATCTAATGGGGATGCTAAATATTACAGAATGAAATTAGATTTTGTTGTTTTCACGTGCATAACGTAAATGTATGTATGTCTGTTTGTTTCTTTGTCTGTATGTTGTTCAGCACCCAACCCGATATTCCAGTTAATTTAAGGCTGCCTTTATATTACCAGACAATCCAGTGATCGATATTGTGAGCAACGATCCACTATCAACCAATTCCCCGAGCCTGAATACCCGATCTATTTGCTCGCCTCTTACGGCCAGCATAGGTTGCTGAGATCTTTTCTAACCCGGATTACCTCAGGTGAAAGGAGATTAAGGATCACAGAGTGATGTTCGATCACTGATCCGGCTACATTCAGCGCATGAATTCGTCAACATTTCATGGATTGTATGCGCAACATTCCGCTATCACCCGAGGATACATATAATCACTTCGCCCTGTAGTCGCTGTTTCCAGTGTGCGAATCAAGACTCAGTGCTACATGTCAATCAAAGTTAGAGTTCACACAAAGTTCACATTTGACTGTGGTGTAGTTCACGGCCTCGTTTCATATGCTGGCTAACTATAGACAGCTTCACAATTACTCCCCAATACGACCGCATGTATTCACTGGTGCTGCTGGATTTGCCCTCATCCAAATAGAACAATAAATTCATGGGATCAGCTGGTGAGAACACGTAGATCAAAACATATGCGTGAGTGAGTGAGTGAGTGAGTGAGTGAGTGAGTGAGTGAGTGAGTGAATGAGCGAGCGAGCGAGTTTGTGAGTGGGTGAGTGAGTGAGTGGGTGGGTGGGAAGTGAGTGAGTGAGTGGGTGGGTGGGTGGTCGGGTGGGTGGGTGGGTGAGTGAATGGGTGAGTGAGTGAGTGAGTGAGCGAGCGAGCGAGTTTGTGAGGGGTGAGTGAGTGAGTGAGTGAGTGAGCGAGTTTGTGAGTGAGTGAGTGAGTGAGTATGGTTGTACGCCGCTTTTATCAATTTGCAAGCAATATCACGGCGGGGGACACCAGAAATGGGCTTCACACATTGTACCCATGTCGGGAATCGAACCCAGGTCTTCCTCGTGACGAGAGAACGCTTTAACCACTAGGCTACCCCACCGCCCCCGAAACATTTTAAACAACACAAAATGAGGTTGATTTCTATGACATAAGCAATTGCTCTTATTCTGCACGGGATGAGTCTTTAATGGGTAACGACATATTCTGTAAATAATAGTCTGGACCAGACAATCCAGTGATTGATATCATGGGATACGATGACATGTATCAACCAAGTCAGCAAACCTGACCACCCGATCACATTAGTCGCCTCTTACGGCAAGCATGGGTTGCTGAAGACCTATTCTACCCCGGATCTTCACGGGTCCGCGTCTTACTGCAAGCATGGTTTGCTGAAGACCTATTCTACTCCGGATCTTCACGGGTCCGCCTCTTACGGCAAGCATGGGTTGCTGAAGACCTATTCTACCCCGGATCTTCACGGGTCTCACATTCAATGAATAAGATGCTACTTACAAGTAGTATATGTCACGTTGCTGTGCCTCCTTTGGTAGATAGGCTACGTTGAGGGACCAGGACATGCTGTACGTATCACAGTTTAAAAATATACTCCTCGGCTTTTCGCAGTACCACGGGAAACCGTCATTAAGAAATGTAAAGTTACAAACGTCTCCCAAGTTGTTCCGTGTCATACTGCATTGGGTACTCTCTGTCACCCACAGCCCCAATACGAACTCTCGTTTCAATTGCCACAACGTACCATGTTCAGCTATGATAGAATAGAACATTGCTATTTCCTCCCGACGACGCTCAAGAAAGCAGCGGATCGTCGCCATGCCTGACCACTGAACTCGGAGAACACCCGTGTAGCTGCCGTTGTTGTTGTCGAAGACGTCTCCAGCAATTGCGGCTTTGTGCCGGGTGTTTTCCATCCACAACCTAAAGAAATCGCCACCGACTGTTTGCCTCTCGCCATAATAATTGAAAGTGTTGATCTCAACTTTTATGACGTCCCCAACTCTGTACAGCGGCTTGGGATCCAACAGCATCATTGAAGAGTGGCGTGCACTTGTGCACTTCCGGGTGTCCCGTTGCTTACCTTCCTTTATCATGGTGGCCTCATCCAGATAGCGGGGGACATCGCTTACCATTCTTCCACTATTTGGTTCCACAGATATATGTTCCTCGTCGCTATTGACGGGTATGTTGCTGCAAACAGAAAAAGAACGACAGGAGTATGAATTTTGATTGTGTTATATATTAGTTTTGTAAAAGTAAATGTCATGACCTGCCCGCAAACAACATTTTTTATAGACAACTGTTTGCACTGATTTCCGAATTTCAGCCCTGGTTATCATTGTCTCAAGACCCAGCTTTTCATACTTCAAGCCGCAAAGGGTGTGACCAAAAGATATGATCAGGGAGATCATGAATAGGTTCACTTTAACATATCGATCAATTCATCGATCAATAAAGCAATTAATAAATAAGTCATTAAATCAAACAAAATCCTTCAATTAAAACCAATGCAATCCAATCCATATCAACCAACCAACCAACCAATCTACCAATCAATAAATCCAAATCAATACACTCCAACGCCGAAGGCCCGGGGACGATTTTCCACATGGGTGCAATTCTGAAGCCCATTTCTGGTGTTCCCGTCGTGATATTGCTCAAATATTGCTTAAAGCGGTACAAAACCATACTCACTCACTCATTACACTCCAAATCAATCGATCAGTCGATCCCATCCAAATCATACAATCAATACCACCAAAATCTATCATATCAAATCATATATAAACCAATTCAAATCATATCACATCACTAAAACTTAGTCAGTTAAATCAATCCATTCAAACAAGCAAAAACCAAATTCGACAAATCAATCAACAAACCAATCAATCACTATCTCTACTGCATTGTTGACAGGGCGACGCAGGGAACTTACAACCAAAGTAATTGAGAAAAAGAGTATTTTAAGAGTATATTCTCAAATAGGCATAATGCCACGTTTACGAATGTGTTTTTTTTTAAATAATCATAAGCAAGAAAACCATTTCCTTCATCATAAGAAATCATAAGTGCAACAAATATTCCTCCATGTTTGCAAATCATTTTTTGTAACTGACACTATCTGGGGGATTCTATTTACCCAAAGTCGACACTTTCAATCGGGTGATGGGGCGGTCGGGTAGCCTAGTGGTTAAAGCGTTCGCTCGTCACGCCGAAGACCCGGGTTCGATTCCCGACATGGGTACAATGTGTGAAGCCCATTTCTAGTGTCCCCCGCCGTGATATTCTGGAATATTGCTAAAAGCGGCGTAAAACCATACTCACTCACTCAATCGGGTGATTTGTGCCTAGCATTTGCGTTTACTGTCAACAGACATGTAGTCTAAATGCGCGCTCGGTTCCAAATCCAATTTAACATAATCCAAAACACATTATGGTGTGTCTATCTCCTACTTATAGATGTCTACTCTAAGGGACATGGTCGGGGACATATGATAGTAGGTGAGTAAACAAGTCATTCGTGCCACAGGGGTGTCATATTTCATCGTGAGCGTACTAATTTGAAAAAGCCTAGGAACTGTCAGAAACAGGAACTACTCGTCAGATACCTTTGGATTTATCAGGTATAGACAGTTCCGGGAATTGTGTTCCCAGTTCCTGGAAATCACGGAAATCACCCACGGGAGGCCTTCACAAATAACTTCTCTGAGAGCCATTTTAAAGATGGAATACCAAGTAAGGATGATATGGATGAACAACTTCTTAATTACAATTGGGATTGACGTTTTTGTGTAGGTTCTAACACCGTCATTACTTCCTTGAGAACAGTGTTAGAACCTACACTAAAAACGTCGCTCCCAATTGTAATAAAGAAGTTGTTCATCCATATATCTTGTCAGTTCTTAGTGAGTGAGTGAGTTGGGTTTTATCGCCGCTTTTAACAGTATATCGCGGCGTGTCAGCTTAATGTGGGAGGAAAGCCCGAAGTGATGCAGGTCTCAGACGTTTACCACTTCGGTGAAACCCACGAGCACGGGTATGGTGCTGACAAACCTAGAAACATAATGAGGGCGAACCGGGATTCGAACCCACAATCATAGGTTTCTAGCGTGCCCAAGGGACGCAACTCTGCACAGCGAATCGCGGCGCCTAAGACGACTGGGCCACCCGTGCCCCCAGTTCTTAATCATCAGGAATCACAATAGAAGTGAGACAGGCTATTTCGGTGGAAAGGTTGCTGACCATTTGCAAAGAGGTTGTGAGCTAAGAAACCAGGTTTTTTTACCTGAGAGCAGACTCCACGTTAGCCAGTCTAGTACACACCCGCTCTCGTCTTGCTGTCACTAACTCTCGAACCATAAAGAAATCGTTTAGCACCAGAATTTGGACTGGGACTGAAGCTTTGCGGCCTTGGTCTTTTACTAAGTGACAAACAGAGTTCCTTGGACTAGGAACACGCGAAGTGAATACAAGCCGTGAACAAAGAACATCCTCTTGTGTTTGCTGGGGGAACTACGGTAAAGACCCAAGGCCCCTCTGGTACAGACACAGGGCCTCTCACACATCCCAGAGAGTCAGGACCACAGAACGATGGTATACCGTATTTCAGGTAAAACTACGGCCGTCAATCAAGGTGTCGTTGTCGCCTAAGCCAGAACACAAACGACCGTCAATTATGCTAAAATTACAATCTTAAACTTAACATTGGACATAATTACCTTGACGTTTCCTCAAGTTTCCCTTTGTTCTTCAGTTGAACTATCATCATAACCATCACGGTCAATATGCACAGGGTGACAAACGTAAGTTTAATCCGACTCATTTGTGAAGCTGAAATATGCCACCCTTTTCCCATGCCCTGTTGGTTGTGACTACACCACTCTTCACCGATATTGAGACCTGGGTCTTAGGGGCAGAGTGGATTACCAGATAATGGGTAAATACACCCAGCATTCGTGTTTAAGGGACGCTTGCCTGGCGTTACAGGGTTAAGCTAACACAGTTGCCTGGTGACCAACATGAACCTTATGAACTTAGGCGGAAGGGAAGTCGGGGGTACCTCAGGTTTGGGGAGTGGGGTGGAGATAAAATCGACGTCGGAGTAGCAGGGTGTAGGGGTAGGGCTCGGTGTAAGGGGTCGGATTAGGGCTAGGGGTAGGTCCGTGGTAGGGGGGTAGGGGTAAGGTTCGTGGTAGGAAGACAGGTTAGTGCGGAGGAACAATGTCCATAATAATCTTTTTAGGTCAATCAATATGTTAGAATCGAATGGTGTCATTGCGTTCCATACAGACACATACATTTCTATGTATCAAGTGACAACATTGTTATCGAGGTCATACCACAGACTGTCTGTTCAATGGACCTCCCTTTTCTCTCCTCTTTTCTATTATGTAAAATGAAAACCCCACAATTTTAAAGTTTAAAGCCGTGCCACGTTTTTAACTCTAAAAGTCAATTATGATATAATTCAATACAATGTATTTATTATGAAGGAACATTTTAACGGTATCGTACTTTGTCATTCAATTAGAACAAACCATGAGGCTGTAAGGCTGCTAATAAAATATTCCTGTCATTGATCTATTCGTGTTGTTGTACTAGTTGTCTGTCATAACTCCAATTGGCGTTTACATCAAATAAGTTTTATATCACTGTATTTTAGGTCATGAATGTGAAGGGTGGGAATTATCATTCTCTCTCTTATCTTAAAAAGTTGGTTTGCTGAGGCGATGTTGTTATTCATGTTTGGTATCTTTTACCTATCTTATCTGATAATAATATAAATTCTGTTATAAATTTGGACAATGCGAGATTCTGATTGGCTTTTACGAGATTTCAAGTCACAATAACACCTCTGGTTGGACCAGGTGGTTTGACGGCGGCATCACCGCGGAAGCTAATGTATATAGAAATACTTCTCATTCATTGTCCATTGGCATTTTGAGTGAGTGAGTTTATCGCCACTTTGAACAGAATTCCAGTTATATCACGGTGTTTCAACTTGATGTGGGAGGTAGCGGTTCTGCCTCTGTTTAATGTGTAAAGTATAATGATCTTTTATGAAAAAAAATATATCTGAGAATACCGAGCGACATGCCTTGTTTGAAAGCTATCAGTGAGTCCTTTGTTCAAACAAACAGCGCTCTCACAGTGCTGGTCTCAACCTCTGCCTCTTAACCCATTTTCTTCGCTTATCGCAAAGAGTTCGCGCTTGATATTGTCATGGTAGAATGGAGATAAACATACAGCGAGAGCTAAGTTACGCGTAGTGGTAGTAACATGTTTATTAAAGTGTCACGCATAACGTGTACAATATAAAGTTGATGCACATAAGATAAAAGGTTATGTAGCCAGACATACGCTTATGAGACACTGTAGACAATAAAAAACAAACTCTGTACATATAATGTGAGTGCCGGGAAATTTAGCTTTGAATTCACAAAACTGACAGGAAACAATAACGGACCCCCAGATTGAACAACGAAAGAGAAAGCGAGGGGAGATAGAGTCCGCTGTGGAAAGAATCTGTACGACGTGCATGGGGAGAACGAGCATCAGATGAAGTGACGGGAAGTTATTTTATGTTTATATGTTTTGTAACAGGATGCCTACATTGTTTAGGTGGAATACACATACCTAGATGGATTATTTAGTGTAGTCTGCATACACATCAGCTTAGTGCGATAGGGACTCAGTGTTGTGACTGTTGTCCCGCGATGCAGCTGGACAACTGTTGTTGTGTTAGTTCCGAAATCTAGTTGTATTTGCCACTGGATATGTCATTACTTATATTCTTTAACCTCGGTTCGGTCATCATCATGGGTATCCTTTAGGTGTTGAGAAGATTGCGAGGAGAGCAGATATCTGTGATGGACCAAGGGAGACAATAAAGCCTTTATTCTGTAAACAACATGATGTGGGAAGATTCAGATTCGTCAGTGTGTTCCGACCTGGCATCAATACTTCAACATCTGGAGGCGGTTCGAGGGATGTGCCAAAAGACTACATTGCACCAAGTGATGGATATGCCAAAGACTACGGCCTTTTGTGATGGTGCTCATTTCTCCTTAATATAACGGGTATTGTGGTCTAGTGGTAGAGCGTCCGCCCGGAGAGTGGAAGGTCCGGGGTTCGATCCCCTGCTGCGTCACACCTGAAAGACGTTAAAAGATGGTACTTGTTGTAGCCCTGCCTGGCGCTCGGCATTAATGGGCTAAAACAAGGACTGGTCGGCATGGAGTCAGTATACTGTGTCTGAGTTGGGTATTCATGTTAAACTGCGGCATGGTATCTCAGTGATATCTCTATAAAGTCTGCATCACACTGAACTAGTACATGCAAACGTGCATGCACGTCGCTACATAAGTGCAATGCGACCTCACCTCACCTGTGCCATGGATTGCACTTACTTCATTGAGGGACACTTGGGCTTGTGGGTTCACATTAATTTTTCCAATGTGATCGTGTAATATTACTCAAAATATAATTTCTTGTCAAGAAAACGAGATCTCGTTATCGTGAAGCTATTAAGGGCTGGTTAGTACCAGGGAACGGGTTTCCAATGCGGGGAGACTGGCATGCCCCTAATGTCAACGCCCTCCAGCATCTAGAGTCTGGGAGTCAATTTAACCCGATAATACAGTACTATGGAGCTATATGTATCATTGCAACCACTATCCAACCAATAGTCAGCCAAAATGCAACAGTATTTCAACATTTATATATCAACATCATTTCAACTTTAAGATCCAACCAAAACTAAATGTCATTTCAAAATTGAACCAAGGCATTGCTATCTCATGCTGATTGAATGTCAATTCCGTAGATGCACCAACCGAATATGGTTGTCTTATTAACTTGATATCGCACGTGCACGACCGGCCCGTGACGAGTTATGAGTGCTGCCCTTCTGTAACATATCCAAAGAGAAAACAGTGTGTTTAGATGAACATTAAACTGTCTGGTAACTTCATTTTGACCCAATTTTGCTTGCACCATACACACCATATGGTTAAACAACAGTGTTTTCATGAGCACCTGATGGCTAAACAACCAATGAGTGCTGTTCACAATCAAACCCACCTGTGTGAGTATCATGCTCCCAGCAAACATAACAAACATCCAAATTGTGCGCCGTGCATGAATATGCACGTGCAAATTGTGAATCCCGATCCTAGAGTCGTATAGTTGTCTTCATGAGTATGGATTAAAAGGTATATTATCACTCTCATCATCATCACCATCATCGTCATTATCATCATCATCATCATCATCATCATCATCATCATCATCATCACTCTCATCATCATCATCATCATCATCGTCGTCGTCGTGCTAATTTAGCCGAACCATACTAATGAGAAATATTTTCTTTTAAATTGCAAAACCCAGAACGAAGTTCCGAATGAAAATACAAATAAATGCTTCATTTCGCGGATTGATTCACTGCAAACCAAGAAGTTGGGGGAATTGATGTGAAACAAATATATCCCATAATGCCATTGTGATCTCTTTGAAGATTATTTTCATCTTCTCTTTGCAGATGCTAGATCACGAACTGATAACGATTAGGATGCTCTTTCAAAACATAATGCGATTTCAAATCAGAAAGAAATTTCCATCCAATGCTCGTGACTCTGTAGCTCTGTATCGCAATAATACTTCTTCATCCCAAATCTTTATCAAAAAAGAATTTAAAAAAGAAGAATCATGCCATTTCAAAGAGAAAATAGCTATGACGGATTTGATGTGGCCAATGAGAAATTATTTTCTTTATACCTTCCTTATTTCGAGGTTGAAATCCACCATACACATTAAGTTTTGTGTTGGCGTTTGGTATTGCATGCTCGTTTGTCTGACGACGCGCTGTTTAGGATGATTTTCCTCTTGTTGAAATGCAGTTGGGGCAGTGGGGTAGCCTTGCAGTTTAAGCGTTCGCTCGTCATGCCGAAGGCCCGGGTTCGATTCCTCACACGGGTAAAATGTGTGAAGCCCATGTCTGGTTTCCCCTACCCTGATATGCTGGTATATTGCTAACAGAGGCGTAAAACCACACTCACTCATTCAGAATGAAGTGAGTTTAACGCCGCTGTGAAATGTTATTTGCAATACGTCAGCTCCATGTGTGAGGAAACCCCAAAGTGACTCAGTTCAACCCTGTACCTCTTCAGTGAACCCCGCGAGCACCCTGTACCTCTACAGTAAACCCCGCGAGCACCCTGTACCCCTACAGTAGACCCCGCGAGCACCCTGTACCCCTACAGTGAACCCCGCGAGCACCCTGTACCCCTACAGTGAACCCCGCGAGCACCCTCTACCTCTACAGTGAACCCCGCGAGCACCCTGTACCCCTACAGTGAACCCCGCGAGCACCCTGTACCCCTACAGTGAACCCCGCGAGCACCCTGTACCTCTACAGTAAACCCCGCGAGCACCCTGTACCCCTACAGTGAACCCCGCGAGCACCCTGTACCCTACAGTGAACCCCGTGAGCACCCTCTACCCCTACAGTGAACACCGCGAGCACCCTGTACCTCTACAGTAAACCCCGCGAGCACCCTGTACCTCTACAGTAAACCCCGCGAGCACCCTGTACCTCTACAGTAAACCCCGCGAGCACCCTGTACCCCTACAGTGAACCCCGCGAGCACCCTGTACCCCTACAGTGAACCCCGCGAGCACCCTGTACCCTACAGTGAACCCCGTGAGCACCCTCTACCCCTGCAGTGAACCCCGCGAGCACCCTGTACCTCTACAGTAAACCCCGCGAGCACCCTGTACTTCTACAGTAAACCCCGCGAGCACCCTGTACCTCTACAGGAAACCCCGCGAGCACCCTGTACTTCTACAGTAAACCCCGCGAGCACCCTGTACCTCTACAGTAAACCCCGCGAGCACCCTGTACCCCTACAGTGAACCCCGCGAGCACCCTGTACCTCTACAGTGAACCCCGCGAGCACCCTGTACCCCTACAGTGAACCCCGCGAGCACGGGTATGGCACTGACACACCATGGATCTCAGTCAAGGCTTATCTAGGACTCAAACTACGATAATAGTTTCCTTGTACGAGTGAGTGAGTGAGTATGGTTTTACGCCGCTTTTAGCAATATTCCAGCAA